AAAGACAAGAATGCCAGCTAGGTTGGTCAGCAAGAAAGCTATCATCGATTTGGATTATCCTTTCGAAGAAGAGGTCAGTCATTTTTAATATGTATCCGTTAGACAAATCGTATTGACATGTATAGGGTGACACGATCATCATTCAAAAGGCACTTGGAAGAGAAAATATTGATGAGGTTATCAAGTTGAGTGAGGAATACAAAGCAGCTGAGAGTAAGTATCTATCTTTCATTTACTCTTCATCACCGCACCAAAATGCCCCCTAACCCCATGCTTCCAAAGAAGTCAAAGTCGAAGAGACGAAAGAGGTAGAGACAACTCTAACAACATACCTCATTGCTCCAGAACTCGAAATGTCAGGTGGCCGATCAGAAGCTGGAACTGTGATCGAAGAACGTACGGAGGTCTTCACCATTCCACCACCCCCACCACCAGTAGTACATCACGCACCTCCGCCTCCTCCATCGGTTGTACACCATGTCCCTCCGCCTCCTCCATCGGTTGTACACCATGTCCCTCCGCCTCCTCCATCAGTTGTACACCATGCTCCTCCACCTCCTCCATCCGTACACTATCCGCCTCCTCCAGAGTCAGTTCACTATCCTCCCCCGCCAGAGTCAGTTCACTATCCGCCTCCTCCGCCAGAGTCAGTCCACTATGCACATCCACCTCCAACTCCAGCTCAATGGGCGCCACCTCCCGCATCAGTTGTGTATGCGCCACCACCTCAACCAATCATATATGCACCACCACCGCCACCTCAACAGCATGTTGAGATCCATGAATCCACTAAGATCGTCGAACGTTCTCCATCTCCAGCACGAAGCACATACTCTCATCATAGTCACCATAGCCACCATACTCATCACCATAATGACCCCGTCATATTGGAAGGACGCCCTAGATCGCGAGACGAAGAGAGCGTCTTTTACGAAAAGCGGGAAATCATCGAGCGCACAGAGCCTATCGGTGCAATGACTTTATCACACTCTCACAGTCATCGTAAGGATGAACGCTCGATTCGAGCTGAGATCAAAGCTCTCGAGGCCGAGAAGGAAGCACTCAAAGCGGATCGACGCGCTAACCGAGAGTTGCGCCGCGCGGAGCGTCTTCGTCGCTCAGGAGCCCGACATAGCGACAGCCAGTTGGTACTTTATGAAGAGGAAATCCATGATGGTAGAGATGTGACCGTTGTAAGAAGGGAAAGGATTGTGGAGCCTGAGGGAGGTGTTAGGATCGAAAAGGACCGAAAAGGTAGGATGAGCATCAGTGTTCCTAAACATGCCTATCGTTAGGTGTCTTGCCTGAATGAGGTGGGTCACTTGAGATCGGAATGGGTGGTTTTTGTGAATGAGAGCTAACCCGCTTATTCTCCACAGCTCCTCCACCAAAATTGGTTAGAGCCATGTTGGCTACACTGACTTAATTTTACCTCTTTGACAATAAATACCTTTGCTTCATATCACGCATTTCGAGCGTTTATTGAGTCGAGATAGATTAATGAATGGCGTTGACACATATTATCTTATGGCTGGTTGGACGGAGCTCGTTAATTTCATGCAGGCAGAAATTGTACTTTTTCTTAATTTACTTCTGGAACTCTTTTCACGGCATGGCTATCTAGACTGTATCTGACATTGAGGGATTCATGGGAGGGATATCGGATATGGAAATGGTTCATACGATGATGATATTTACAGCTGCAATTTTACGTTTTATTGCTCTTCGTCTTCTGCTTCTTTAATTGGAAGATACATTAGTTAGGATACCTACCTATTCGTACAGCTTTTGCGCTTTCTCCCTCTCTTCTCTTCTCTTTCTCTTGCTCTTTTTCTTTTTCTTTTGGTGCTGAATACCTATGCATTTTGCACGGTTTAATGAAGTTACGAAATACTTTTTTCTTCTTCTTTCTCTCTTTGGTAATTTGGTTTGGTAATGGGTGGGTGGATGGATGGGTGGGTGAGTGGATATTTGGGAAAGCTGTAATGGCATTCTACCTGGTTGGTGAATGGATGGATGGCTTGGTGGATGGCAGGAAAGTATGGAAAGTGTGGAAAGTGAGGGAGGAAGGGAGGGAGTGAGGGATATCTGAGCTAGTGATAGAGAGATAGGATACAATATTATGATTATGAAATTGATGGTTTCAATGCTCGGTGTGTTTGTGATGAGTTGGGGTGAGGATTGGAGTGAGGATTAGAGTGAGGATTAGGGAATTGTAGGGGATGTGGGAGTTTTTTTAGTTTTTTTTTGGATATTTGATAGGTGGGTGGGTGCCCTGAATGTTAAGATTGTGAATACCGCGAGTAGGATGGTATCTACCTACTTTTCTTGGTATCTACAGTATATGTATATAAATCCCCCGAAATCATATGGTTTCATTTGAACACCGTAAACGCCTCGCTATGCACCATTTCCTGCCCCATCCCATCCTAATCCATCGCGATTCCCTTCCCTTTTGGCCAATTTTTGTTTTCTTTTGAAAATGGAAATATTGGAGTGCGCCGTGTTGCTAAAATGCGTCATCTCTGTTCTATTTTGTCGTCCTTGTGTGTATCCCATCGAGCTGCGTGGTTTGTAATGGGCAGTTATCCATCAGCACGCAATAGCACTGTTGATCTGAATGAATAGCGCAACACTCAAGATTTTCTCCTCTTTCTTCCCTATCCCTATCTGATTTTCTTCGCTTTGAAGTAATCTCTTAACTGTTCCACCCTCGTAACAAAGAACATCCTCTTCGCATCACTCTTCCAAATCAACACTCCCACCTCTTCAGCATATTTCGCACAACCTTCGTATTCCTTCTGGGTCTCAAAATCCTTCATCAAAAATCCCGGCACGGCTTTCATTCTCTCGTTTTCTAATTGCCAAAGACGAATTTGATCGACGACCGTGGGTGGTAGTACAGGTCCTCCATGAGATGCGGAAGAAGCTTTGACGAGTTGAGGATGCGCATGGGTGGATAGGTAGGTAATTATTTGGTCGGATGTAATGCCATGAGCTATGGCGGTACGGATAGAATCGCGAGATACGCGGCCACTGACCATGTTGGGATAACGAGTGTTGAGTTTGGTGAAGAGTGAAAGAACGGCAATTTGGAGGGGTGAGTTTGTATAAGCGTATAGGCGGTAGTTCGTCTCGATTATTATGAAACCCTTTTGGCTGGCAGCAGATTTGGAGGCGGCATCAAATCCTGCAGCCACAGTGCGAAGTGCACTGGCATCAGAGGTGAGAGTTGTGGCTAGACGTGTTGGAAAGAATTGTGTAGGGGCTGAAGGAGGGAGGTAGATTAGCCCCAGGTCGATGAGGTTAGCCAGCATCCCTTGTTGGGCGTCTGTAAGAGTCTTAGTGCTGTATGCACGTCCGAGTTCGAGGGAGCCTAACATGAAGAGAAAAGAAAGTACATCGACGGAATCCATTCCCATGCTTTCGGCATTTTCAATCCAGAGAAGGAGCAGAGTCCAGACTTGCGCATTGGCTTCTTGCAATAGAAATGAGAATCCAGCTTGAGTGATACCGATACTTCGACCTCTTGTTACCAATTTTCCTGCATCAAGTAGTGCTTTCACTGAATTTGCAGGCCCATTTCCATCCCTTCCTGACCCGGATGTAACAGTGTTGACCATATAATGTAGAATCCCTTCCCATTGTATTCGAGCATGTGTATCCAAGAAATCAATATCAACGTGTGGCGCAATATGGTCCGACGAAGGAACTCCGAAAGATTGATGATTTCCTCCACCTGTAAGTGCCAGTCGTAGAGAGGCTCCAAAATTCTTAGTTAAGGCTACAGTTTGAGGATCTTCTCGGCTCAGCGCAGTAATATCGACAATATGCAGTCGCGATAATAAGGATAGGGCTTGATCTTTTTGCCTGGGACATTTTAGCATATGGCACCCATTTCAAGTCAAGACACATACTTCTTGCTCTTAGGTTGTACCCATTGATCCAGAGCAGTGAGGGGCAAAGGCTTAGGCATATAGAGTAGTGCCATCACAAAGGTTTTGGCAAGATGAGGCAGCATGCGCCTGAAAATGGCCAAAGAAGTAGAAGGTTGCTGATACAACCGTCTGAAAGTTGTACCTGGTAATCTTTCCAGGTATTCAAATGAAGCAAGAGTTGAGACAGACATCGTATTGGTCTGGTAATTGTTTATTATCCGCAGATATTATGAATTCGGCATTGCCAGTAGGGAATTCAGGAAGCTCTACAGCCTTGCAATTAATTAATAAGTAGCCTGGTGACGGAGAATTTTGAGCTTGGACCATATCTTTGTCTTCTCCAGCGAACGGATTACGGTGGAGCACTACTATGTTAACTACACTACCTACTAGATGGATGTGAGTGACTTCTACTCTGCTTTCGGCGTCTTCACATTGTACAATTTCATTCTTGTTCAATCTGCAAGGCTCCAAACTCCAAATTTCCATTGCCCCATCAATCTCGCAACGAATAGACATGCCCTGCGTTCTGCGGGGTCAAACCCATGCGATGAGGAGACTGAACAGGACGAGCACTCGAAATGCTTGAACTTAGTGTGAACTCTTCTTTCGTTCCTTTTGTCCTTAGCTTTGAGCTTGAATATCAATTGGAACGTACTTACACCGTCTACCAAAACTTCTTATACACTGTCTTTTGCTGGTATCAACCTCTAGCGAATAGGAGCGGGCCTCTCACGTGGTCTCGTAATTGAGCAGTATGCATAAGCATTCTTGGCTTATCATCATGACCGTTGCTTCAGTCTGAAGACAACTTGACTACACCTCCTTCAGGAAGTTTCGGAATGAAAGGGACCCAGCAACATGTTTTCTGTCTCTGTCCTTAAGAGGTATAGAAGAGTACCCTTCAAAACCCAAGCTACCCTTAGGCCCATCCTTGTTACCCCTTATCAAAACAGAATTCATTTCCAGATTCCTGTCCGACAAGCTCACACGAAACCCCCTTCTTCTTTTTTATCTGGGGCACGATTTAAGATACGCTATTACAGTTACATGGTTGTCTTTATGCTATGCTTTACAGTTGCGTCTGGGACGATAGATTGGATTCTAGTTGATCCCCTCAAATCCGTGTACGCTAAGAATGTTACCCACAAATCAAAATATTCATCGGCATCGTATCAGTATGGAATTCTGCGCAAAGGGTATATTCGATTAGTTAGTATCAAGGCTGGAAATGCGGACGATCCGATTGAATTGGAAATGAATCATGTCAAATTTCACCCAGTGGCAATCTATGGGGTTCTTCCTTCGTTCTTCCCAAATGTACCCACATATGAAGCTCTATCATATGCGTGGGGCGAGAGTGAGGATACCGTGTAAGTCATTTTCTTGTCATTTTGTTTATCATTTGCATTTCCTGGTTGTGTATTCATCTACTCGGAGTTGGCATAGTGCTTGGCAAGTGCTGAATGATACCAATGAGTCGAATAGCTGGTACCTTGGAGAAATATTTACAGAATGCAAAACTTTGCAATAAATCAAGAATGTCTTATCTGAAAAATTGAAATATTTGAAGATATACACAACGCTTAGATATTCAAGTATGTGAGGATGGGCCGTACATGTCTTCACGGGTTGCAATGTAGATAGAAATGGTATCATTCAGTCGTACTTTATTGAAAGCGACAAAAATTGGAATTACACGGTCTCAACTAACACACCGCAGACCAATAAAATTGAATGGCCAACCTTTCAATATCACAACTAATCTCCACTCCGCACTTCTCGTCCTTCGTGATAATTCCAACCCCCCCTCATTGTGGATTGATGCCATCTGCCTGGATCAGAATGATCCATCTGAAAAAGATAAACAACTACGCATCATGCATCTAATCTACATGAATGCTACTCGTGTACTCGTCTGGCTTGGCGCAGACGACAAATCGGTCGATCTACATGCTGCAGCCGAGATTATCTCTCACTTCAGGATGAAAAAGAGAGAATTGCAAAGAAAGGCCCAGTCAATAGCTAAAAAGGAACCTTCGGCTGATTTTCAAGTGTGGCTGCAGAAGTGGGTCAACTGCGACTGGCATACTGGGCTGGAGTATGTCTCTGGCTGGAAAGCAGTGCAGAATATACTCGCTCGACCATATTTCACGCGATCCTGGATAATCCAAGAAATGGTGTTATCTTCCAATCGAAAAATTATTGTAGGCGATCACGATGTAACGGGTATTCTCGACCTTGTTTCTGTCATCCACATTTTCCCCCAGATTGAGAATCGAATTCCTGCCCAGTACCTCAACGAACCGGACGTCATACCGCGTATCTACGAGCTAAGCTTGGCCATGCAGACATACCGGACTGCCTTGAAGTCAATGTATGTCGTTCCTGGCACCAATCGTGAGTTCAAGCTTGCAGGGCAGAATGGACTCAATTTAGGAGAGCTTCTCGCTAGGTTTCGAGGCAAAAAATCTACGTTACCAATGGATCAGGTGTATAGTGTCTTGGGAATGACAATAGACGCCAGCATTATGTATAAAATGCCTTCCTGGACATCCTGGTCTAGGAAACGACCAACACAACGGCTTCCACAATTTAACCACAGGCAGTCGTTAAGGAAACTGTGTACCGACACTACGCGATATATCCTAAAAGAGGATGGAGATCTAGGAGCTCTGAGAATGATTAATACGCATGCGAAGCCAACAAAAGATAAAGATTGGCCGTCTTGGGTTCCGGATTTCTCATCCCCGTTGCCGGGACCAGGTGAGCCAGAAAGTATGCAATGGAATTTAGAGTCTTCAACATTTCCTCAAAACAAGAATAAATTTTTTGTTGATAGAGGTAGGTTGGTGGTATATGGACATGTTCTTGGTGAGATTGAAGATCTTGTTGGAATAATACAAAGAAATGGAGAGTACTCCAATAAGACGGGTGACAGACCGAGTGAGTTGAAGAAGGAAAATTTGAGGTTGAGCCAATATAGGGATGGGTTTGGATTTTTACCGTTGGCGGTTTCGAGAGATAGTGAGGGACGGTACGTGTTTGGTGGGACGAGTATGAGGAAGGGAGATTTGGTAGTTGTAGTTGGTAAAGGAAGAGACCCATTGATTCTGCGAAGGCTGGAGTATGGCGAGGAACCAGGAGGCGAAAGCAGGAAGGAGAGTACTGTGTACCAATTAGTAGCAACAGCGAATATACCGGGTATCGAGAAAATCCAGAAGAAGCTTGCTTTGGATGATATACAATGGGATGTCAAGAAAATGATTATAAAGTAAGGCAGGTCGGTTTTATGGATTGTTCTATGTGCGATAGTCGAGAATAGACCATCTGGTTTCAAGATACAAATGGACAATATGTTGACACCAGACTTATTACATGTGAGCTTTGTATTCTGCACATATTTCTCCCTTCGAAGCAGAACTGATCGAATTCGAATATGCAAAATGGAATAATGTGGTAGTGAAGTCATGAAAAATACGACCAGAAGTACTACAGCTACCACGACCACACACCTTCCACCGTGCTATATTCGCCAGTATCGAGAGTCATAATGAGATTTCAACCAGCGCTGGTGACATCGAATTCGGCCGAACATGCATTAATGGTAAAAGACCATGATCGCATGTTTTAAGATATAGAATTTCTTAATTAATTCAATTGATTTGATGCTTGATATCACTGGTAGCTGGAGACGAGGAGACTAACATAGTTCGTTACCGGCGATGCGGCCCCAGTAACTTTGAACAGCGGGGCGGCCTTACTGCGGCCTCAGACATATGGTGGATGGTTAAGACAACTTCGAATATATCATATATAACATTCTTATTTTCTATATAATCTTTATAATTATACATAATATCCTTATCTCCTATATAATCTTTATTATTATATATAATATTTTTGTCTCCTATTTATTTGTAGAAGAAAAACCAGACCGGAATTAACTAATACATAATACCTCTCTATACGTTAGTAAGCTGATATATAGGTAGATTCTTATAGTAATCGTTAATCGATTACTAGAACAAGAGTCGATCTAGAAAACAAACTAAATATATTAGGTGTATTAGATAATCATCCTAATTGATATAATCAACTAAATTGTATATAACTTTTAATAAAAATATATATTATATTTAATACCAATAAATCTATCTATCTACTCTATATTATTGAATAAGAAGATTATGCAGAAGACAAGGATGTTATGCATAATATGTCCGAAGTTGCCTTAACAGGCCGCCATAGAGACACAAGCAAGGGTATTAATCCCTGTTCAGCCAATCGCGGTGTCCTCATACAGAATTACCGACGTTTTTGTAACTACAACACATTCTTATATCGACAATCTATCCAGCTTCACCATACTATTACTTCCCGAGGCCTACAATATGGCTGCTCTAAGATTCGTGAGATCAGTGAGTTGTCGATAGGCCACCAAAATATGCCGATGCTGATATCATTACCTTCACTCAATAGGTTCTGAAGTCTTTTCAAGAATCATCAGGACTTGAGCCGAGGTACTGTTTTCCATGTATTTGGGGTGTCATTTTATAAAATACAGCTCCGGTCTGTCGTCGCAAGTGTTCAGTCGGCACTTCTTTCGAGCATGGGACTTTCAGAAAGTATCTGAAATCAATCTAGTCGTTCTAGTTTACCGTTCATTGGTCCCCCAGGGCCTCCTGCGTAATGTAACAGCGTACCTCCTCTGTACTAGATCAATCTGGAACATTTTTCACTGCTATTGTGGCAGCGAGAGTTCTTGATAAAAACATCGACTGACACTTGATTACAGACTATTTGGTGAAAATGTAGGAAAAGCATTTGTTTTGTATTATTTAATTGCGAATTATTTCCATTGACTTTGAAAAGCTTCGAGTCACAGGAGCCGAGCCAGGACGTGTAAACTTTGAGCTTGACATCAAGAAGGAGCACACCGTAAGGAAACTTTCCAAATCGTATATGAGCAACTCGTTCAATTGTCTTCTGTTAGAACCGTTTGAATATTATTCATGGAGGCACGATTGCCAGCATGGTGGACCTAGGTGGCTCACTAGCTGTTGCCTCGAGGGGTCTTTATGCCACGGGTGTTTCTACTGATTTGAACGGTAAACGTTATGCGACCCAATTGCAATTTTATGTATCTAACCCAAACAAAGTTACATACCTCAACTCTGGCGGTAAGGTTGGAGATGTGCTGAAAGCGGTGGTGACTTGCGATAAATGTAAGTATTGTCATGTCATTATTTGAATGTCACGTCTCTAACATGAGAGCAGTTGGAAAGACCTTAGCGTATACTTCTATCCAGTTTACAAATAGCAAGGGCGAAGTAGCAGCACGTGGAAGCCATACAAAGTCAGTCTTTACCTCCAGTCTTTCAGATTCACAAGCTAAAATAGGATCATGATAGATACGTTGCGCTCGCGTGGAAAGAACCCAAAAACATAGTTGAGGAACTGTCACCACGTCCTTAAAATTCCCACGTGCTTCAGCCTTATGTGTACGACGTGGTCCATTCACTCTAGCTTTTAAGGCCATATCGGGATCATGTCTAAGCAAATTTAGGCAAGTATTTTCCACAGGCAGAATATATCTTGACCTTGACCCAAGCATTCGGTTCCAACGAAAATAGTTCAGATCAGGACATCGGGAATGCGGGTGTATATAATTGTGGCTTTCTCCAGCTACTCGGTGTATGCAATTCATTACCTAATAGATGGTTCGCTATTTCTACTAAGTTGTCTAGTTACTAGGTGAATTTACTGTGATTGATTAGCCAATAGCGAATCAATCAAGTGCTGATATGTGCCATTCATTGTCAATCAAAATATTAATTAGTGAATTTTATATTCAAAAAACGTTTTGGGTTGAAAAGTCTATATGAAGTGCTATACCCCGCAGCAACATTTAGTGCCAAGTCAAGCCTCGGAACAACTTGGCGGGTTCTTCAGGGGTCATGAGGAATGATACAAGCATTAAATAGGATCTTACACCACATGTGATCTAATCAATGATTGGATAAACAATGCTTCTTGGAGCGTGCTCGAAATAGCCCATTCACTTGATATTCCTGGATATCTGTAGCCCACGTTTTTGTTGGCAGTGGTCAACAGTGGCTTAAGCCGCGACGGTGCGTCTTCGGCGTTCAAAAAAGCAGGTAGTGACTAGAAAAGAGTCTGCGTGAAGCAATTGGTTTGTTTGACTAATCGTCTGATTTGCTATAGGTTCGATCCGAAAAACATGATGTGGGCGTTCAATGTTTTGAGTCGTCCTACCCACGACTCCAAGAATTGAACTCTTTGAAGTAAATTTGCTATACGACTCGCATAAGATGGATTGTGTATTTATAGGTAGTTCGTGTTTATGCAGAGGTAAACATGCCAAGCAAGTCCTGCAAGGCTACGGGGATTTACTCCTTCGACGGATATTTTACCCCAGATTCTACTCAAGGGTCCTATGAATGCTTTTAAATCTCTCGGAGCATGGGCGAAGGCAGATAGATCATGCGCCTCGCCTTGAACCGTTTCAAGATTAGAGCGAATCAACTCTACTCACAAATTAGTGGCGTCTTTCAGCGAATTAGCGATTTTGCAGGAGCATGGGTCTCTCATTCACCAAATTACCCCAACATCAAACTTGAGAATTTGACACAGCACGTGTAGAAAACCAGATTATTGGGTGAATGTGGCAGTGGACTGATTAATGAAAATATATTACTTACTGCCCCGCCGTAGGTAGCTCGGCTCATTGCTACTTAAAGTTTCAACAGTCTAGATTCAACGATCCAACGATCCAACTTACAACCAACAATAACCTTAAACATACCTTCTCACATCCTTTGCACTTCCATACTTCGGAAATCATATCATCGAGGAGTCGTTCACTCAATCATAATGTGGTACACTACTAATGTCTACGTTATTTGCGCCTTCGCCGCGATAGGTAAGTGATTCTCCTCGAATCCAATGCAAAACAATGAGTAACATATATAGGCGGTGGTCTTTTCGGCTTCGATATCTCGAGTATGTCTGGTGTTCTTGGAACTCAAGCATATGTCAGATACTTCCACAATCCTCAATCTTACGGTCAAGGTGGAATTACCTGTGCTATGCCCGCTGGATCTCTCATCGGTGCTTTAGCTTCCTCTTTCATTGCGGATAGATGGTCTAGACGAGCTAGCATTCAAATTGCGTCCATTTTTTGGATTATTGGTTCAATGTAAGTTTTGACCTCCAATTATTCGAACATAACTAATGCTTTCTTTAGTATCCAGTGTGCTTCAATTAATGTAGCTATGCTGGTTGTCGGTCGAGTCATTGCTGGTATCTGTGTTGGCATTGCTTCTGCGATCTGCCCTGTCTATCAATCAGAGATTGCTCCAAAGGAAATCAGAGGCCGAGTTGTCTCTCTTCAACAATGGGCAATCACATGGGGTATTCTTATTCAGTACTTCATCCAATACGGTGCTTCGACAATCGGAGGTGGTGCAGAAAACCCAGTAAGTACGATGTCACTATTCTAAGAGCTAGCACACTAATCAATATCTTTCCACAGGACCAACCTACTTCCGCTTTCCGAATCCCCTGGGGTGTACAAATCGTTCCTGCAGTTATCTTGTTCTTTGGTATGTTCTTCTTACCACGATCTCCTAGATGGTTGGCCTCCAAGGATAGATGGGAGGAAGCCATCAAGATTATTGCAGACCTCCATGGTGGCGGTAATGTAAACCACCCAAAGGTTCTCGCAGAATATCAAGAAATTGAGGAGGCACTCCGATTCGAACGTGAAGAAGCTATCAGCTCTTACAAGCAACTCGTGGCCCCACGTATGATCAAGCGTGTCATTCTAGGAATGTCCATTCAAATGTGGTCTCAACTCTGCGGCATGAATATCATGATGTACTACGTCGTTTGTAAGTATTTTCTTCTCTGCTGTGGTATAGTATATCACTGACGGCTCTTTCAGATATCATGCAAGGTGCAAACATTGCCAACCCGCTTATTACCGCCTCAATTCAATACATCCTCAATGTGTTGTTGACTTTACCTGCTATCATCTATCTTGATCGTTTCGGACGTCGCCCAGCCATGCTCATCGGTTCCTTCCTCATGATGACCTTCCTATTTATTGCCGGTGGGCTTCAAGCAGGCTACGGTGAACCCAACAACACATCGAAGACTCAAACTGAACAGAATAAAAATCTGACATGGGTTGTTCATGACAAGAAGGGTGTGTCATCTGCCATCGTCGCAATGACATATCTATTTGTTTGTG